ATGTCTGATAGAAGTACTGGAGCCATTACCATAGAATTCAGCACCAATTTTTGCTAAACTCTCCATTTTGGCAATGTGAAGTTTCTTGAGAGATGGTAGCTGTCCTAGTGAAGGCACAGAAGAGCAATTTTTGCAACCAGTAAGACGTAGGAACACCACATTGGTCAATATTGATGAATTTCCTAACCAATCTGGGAACTCCTTACCGCCATATCTATCAATTGTGAGTATCTCTATATTTTTATGTGGCTGCAACTTTTCCAAAACAGCAGATCCATTCTTCGCTGGATCATGAAGACTGTCAATATTCCAGCTGAAAACTAACTCCTCAATATTCTTCTTATCCTTCAACTTTGCAGCCTCAGCATCTGCAGCTTCGCTCACATTCTGCAGCTTGAAAATGGAAAGTTTACCCTGAAGATTTTGTAGGTCCCTCAATTCATGAATACTTGACCCATCACTCACAACAAAAGTTGGAAGTGTCTGAAGGTTCTTTAATTTACCTAAATCAGGAGGCATCTTTTTCAACTTGGTGCCACTCACATCAAGATGAGCTAATTTACTTAGGTTCCGCATGTTTTCTGGCAACTCAATAAGGTTAAAACAATTTGTCAACAACAATGTCTGTAAGTTGTACAAAAAACATGTTGATTGAGGTAATTTTTCTATTTTAGTGCGAGAAAGGTCTAAGTAACGTAATTGTTTCAATTTGTCAAAAGTATCAGGCAACTCACTGATCTCATAATGGCACAGAGACAACACCCTCAAGCACTTCATTGTCAGCAGAAGATGTTCAATTATCATCTTGTTTAAGGAAAGGGCTCCTCCAGGATTTGATGAAAAACTCAATGGCAGGAAGGTCCGCAAAAACTTCAACTCATGCAAGGTCTCAAATTTTTGAATGGAATCTATCTGATCCATTACATACGAAAAGTGGCGAACCCTCTCAGATATAACAAGTGGCATTCCCTCCTCAATCTTGAAGCAAAATTCACCAGAAGCAAATTGTGCTAATTCACTGATAAGGTCATGCATTATGAAGCGTGATTTATTGTCACCTAATTGTTGGAATAAAGACCTTGATAGCAATTCATTGAAATACTCGCGACCTACTTCTTCCATTCTTTTCTCACTTGTTGGCTGCTGCAAGAATCCTTGTGCCATCCATAAAAGAACTAACTTTTCTTTTTCAAATGCATAACCTTTTGGAAATATTGAACAGTAAGCAAAGCACTGTTTCAAATACGGAGGGAGATAGTAGTAGCTCAACATCAAAGAAGGAAGTATATCGCTCTCATTAATTGAAAGATCCCATATGTTACTCTTTAAAATTTTATTCCACTCACTGGTTTGATCGCCTTTAGTGCACAATAAACCCCCCAATGTTTTTGCAGCTAAAGGCAGACCTCTGCACTTCTTCACTATCTGTTCACCGATCTTCCGCAGGTTTTGTGGTGGCCTGATGTTTGCACTTCTAAATGCAAATTTTTCGAACACCAACAAGCAATCTTCATCAGATAATGGTTGAAGAGGATGAACATGAACGGAATGCATGATTGATGCAACACTTTGGCTACGAGTTGTCACAATAATTCGACTACTGACGTCTCCGTCTCCAAAGGGTTTCTTTAGGACATCCCAATTCAGGAAATTTTCATTCCAGACATCATCTAAAATGAGCAGAAATCTTTTTCCTGCCAGTTTCTCCTTCAGCTTGACTTGGAGTACATTTAGATCAGTGATCTTACACTGCGAATGACAAGTCCCCGGCTCAAAAATGGTCTCGGTTATCTTAAACACATCAAAGTTCTCAGAAACATGAACCCATACTCCTGTGGAAAAATGCTCCTTTACGTCAGGGTCGTTGAACAGAAGTTGAGCAAGCGTTGTCTTGCCGACTCCACCCACCCCAACAATTGCTGTTACCGGAATCTCCCGTTCATTTGGATCAGTACAGTCCGATAACAAAAGTTTCTTAATCTTCTGTTTATCATCATGTCTACCGAACACTTTAGATTCATCTACCAAAGATGTGGATGGCCATCTTGGAAATGAATTTACACCAAGAGTGCTTTCTTTCAGACCAAGACCATCTTTGGTATTTGCCACATGTTCCAGCCTCGAAATTATGTCTTTAAGCCTGGAATTCCTGCTTTGGACCTGTTTGTTGATTCCTCGAGATTCGCTTTCCATTTGACGTTGTAAATTATTAGTAAACATCTCATCAAGAAAGTCCTCAGCACGGTAGACAGCATCTTTAAGCTCATTAACCCACCGTTTTACGATTGAGTTTGTGATTTGCTTCTCCTCTGCATCACTAAGTACAGCGAGAACTGAGAGCAGTACTGTCTCCAGCCTGTGCAAGAGAGTTTCATCGCATTCCCTACTCCGGAAGAATTCAAGAAGCTGATGAGAAGCTAGTCTGTCAAACAGCACTTGAAGGGAAGCTGACAGAAGTGCACCTATTGCTGTTTCAGGCAAAACCATGGTCTCTTCTTTGTGGGAAAGGAGACAAAATCAACCAGAAAATTTAGAAAGAAAATGGGTGACAAGGGTGCAGGTCAATCTCTGTGAAAGTCACTATACTGATGAATATTTGCTTTTAGCCTTTGATTAGACGACGGTTTTTGTGGCCCTATTTATCGTTACCATGTGTGACTGAGAAGGTATATTCTCTCCTCTTTTTTTTTTTTTTGGGAAATAATTAGTCTTCAAGATCCTGAAATTAATAGTCAGATAAGTTTTTAGTGGTTATCCCTTATTAGTAGTCGTGGGGATTTGAACTCAAGATCTCTTGAATGTATTATTTGAAAGTTTTGATTGAATAGTTAAACTATCTAGAAGTAGTTGAGAAGATATACTCAATGCGTGAATAAATAAATAAAGAAATAGTTTAAAAATTGGGAAACAGGTTTCCAGCAATTTTCTGTTCGAAAGTAGCGGATTCTGTCAAGTAACGAACTTTGTTTTAATCTCTGGGTTTACCGTTAATGGTGGTGCTCTTTTGTCTGACTTTAATATGGATATATTTGTTTAACTTGAAAGTTATCTTTTCCTTTTAAGGTATCTTTCTTGTATATTCCCTTTTTTTAATGACATTTAAGTCTTCCATATATAAGTCGCGTCAAGGGATAATCAAATTCCCACTATGTCGGAGTGCACTAAAGATACCTATTAGGAAAACTTCAATATAATATTTGAAGATAATTGAATTTATTAGTATTAAATTGTCTTAAAATCATACTGCAAAGAGAATAATAACACAAAACAAACAGCCAAAAAAGAAATTAATATAGCTGTTGCTTATAAGAATTAGTCAAATTTTCTACTGATAATTCAAGAAGCGCTTGTCTCACAACTTCAAACCTGATGTGGATTGGATTAGATTCTAGGAAATGTCTCGTTTTAATCAGGAATATTCTTATGCAATTACCAAGGAAGTTACCAATTTTATTCACTACTATTGACGTGTAATTTTGACACCAACGACTCATACATGTAAAGTGTTAAGTTGTTCTTAGAAATTACACGTGATATGATTGATTCAAGAGTCAAGACAAAACTAATCAGTATAATTGAATGCAAAGACTGAATAATAAATGAGAGAGATGATTTTTAAAGTGGTTCGGATACTTAAAGTGATTCTTATATTTACTGTTTTTTTTATATATGAGAGTTTAAAAGAGGTTACGTATAGCGAACAACGAGTAGAGGAATATTAACTGAGTATTCAGAAAGAATATCAAGTCAGTTTCTTCCTTGTAAGTTATCTTTGCTTTGAAAATAGATATTACAATCAGAATCAGAATCCAAAAAATGAGAGGGGGAGTCATCTATTTATAGTAGCTGAATTTAAGGTAATGATTACAAATCTGCAAGTGAATAGGTGCTGTGCAAGTATTTCCTTGCCTCCCATTGGTTGATAACTTAGGAAATATCCAAAAATTACTTGGGGCTTAGATAGGTGTGCGGTCCTGAGCCACTTATGGACAAAACCTGAATCTGCTAAGTTGATGACAGCCGTATTCTTTCTGTTTGAGGTGATGTGGTAACTCCTGGACGGCACAAAGTTTTCATGAACTCTGATTGGTGCTCGTTCATGTAAGTTTAGTCAGCCCTGATTTTTTAGGTACGTTTGGTTAAGAGAATGTTATGTTACTGGAATATTTTACCTTGAAAGATTACTAGGAATATTATATTAATGTGTTTGGTTATGAGGTATAAATTTATAGGTATGTTATTTAAATTACTGAATTGTCCTCTTTTTAAATATTATATTATTATTATTTAGATTATTAATTTATAATCCTCTACATTTAAAAATTTAGCTAAAACATCCCCATAATAAAAGTTGAAAAATCAACGAAGACACCCTCACCTACCCAACCACTGCCGGCCTCCACCATCGGTCATCGGTAACCAAACGGTGCATGATCGGTCAGATTGGGCCGATCGTGCGTCGATCTGGCCGAAAATGGCCAAAACAGATTTTTCACTATCTTACCATTTTCGGCTAGAAATCTGGCCAGATCGACACCAACCATTGGTTGCCGATGAAAGTGGTCGACGGTGGTAGTTTTGGTGGGCTAGAATTTGTTTTAAATACAAGGGCATTAATGTCCAAAAACTTAATTAATTAGGGGTAAAATTGTAATGGTAGGCTCATGTAAATTAATTTTAAAATAAGGGTATTTTTCTTCAAAAATTTTATTAATAAAGAGTAAAATTATAAGAAAAATAAGATTACCAAATAATCTTAAAATACCTAAGAAAATGTAAGTAATCAGATTACCTTTTTTATTACCAATGGTAATTATTATTGATTTTGAAAGATTGTCAAAATCTTATATTACTTAATAATCAAATATAATAATTTAATAATATAATATGACATTATCTCAATAATCCTCCGCTACCCTCAAGCAAACACATCCTTACAGTACGGAGTTATGAATCCACAAGTCTGAGATACAAGCAATAGAAATTTGGGCCTATGGGAGATCAGCCCAATATAAATGAAAACTCTTGAACTTGTTCAGTCTTTTACAATTATTTTATTCCTTGCATTTCCCATGGCAGCACAATCAATGATCAGGAAAGCTTAAAGCTTAAAAGGTTTCAGAACCTGTTCAGTGTCCCCGGACATGGAATGGTAACGCGTAACCAATTCCTTGTATTGACAGGCTCTGAAGATTGGAGGACCAGTTAAAGCTTTTGCAGGCTCTATAATGCTATCAGTAGTTGGATTTATGAAGAAAGCTGCAGTTGTCCTGGTATCTTTCGAGTTCGTCACAGCTCTATGCTCAGCACTTTTCAGCTTGTTGTTACTGATTATCTACAACCGCAAATGCAAATACACTTTGTCACATTAATTCAATTAATCTTGAAGCAACAATTTTTTATATTCTATATGTTAGAGATAATTACCTGTAACGCATAGCCTATGTTAATTACAAATGCATTTGGAATAGGCTCTACGCCAATCCATTCCCCATCCTTGAAAACCTGAAGCCCGCAGACATCTTGATGCAGAATCGTTATGATATTAGGGTCACAATGTTTAGGAATCCCCAGGGTCAAGCTTGGATCTGGGCATGGTGGATAATAATTAACTGACAATACTGATGTTTCGCTTAGTTCATTCTTGAAATAACTGGTCTCAAGTCCCAGTCCTTCAGAAATCAGCTCCAGGATCATTGAACCCAATTTCTTTGCTTCAATTGAATACGCCCCAACAACCTCACTAACATCAATAATAGATGAAATTAATCACGCGTTACACAAATATTTGGTGTACATATGTAATAAAATTTTATGATATATCAAACAAACGGGTTTACCGATATCTAGTTGGCTTTTCTGGCCATTGTTTTATGCATTCCTCTAAGGGATGGCAAGGATGTCTCAGAATATCACGCCAGTAGTGAATCTTTTCATCATCGTAATGTACAGTACTGGTGCAAAGCCTGCAACTTTTACTTAAATCCTCAGAATAGACACTTGATTTGTCCTCCGCAGGCATCTCAAAGAACTCCTTCAAGACACCCGTTGTCTCATTTATTAGTTTCTCTGAAACTCCATGGTTAGTAACCTGGTAGCCAGGATGTAATAGTAAAGTAAAAATCATTCTTAAAGGAAAAAAAAAAAAAAAAAACCAAAATCACTTTGAGAGACCTTTGAGAGAAAGATGAGTGAAACTTACCTGGAAAAATCCGAACTCATTGCTAGCCTTCAGTATTTGCTGAACCATATCAGTTCGATTACGACCAACTGCTTGACTTAAATCAATCACCGGAACATCGCGTACAGGAACAATGGATTTCCCAGGTCTCACTTCTGGTGGGAATATGTAATCCTCAGGCAAGGATTGGTTTTTATACCACATTGAAACGAGCTTCTCCATGGCTGCAGTATAGCTGATTGAATCTTCTACTAATTGAAGCAGTGATTTTACTCTGATGATAACTTGGCTTTCATAATTTTTTGAAACATAATATTGACTATTATTAGTTAAACAATTAAGTGAAATATTGGCTTTGCCATTGTAGCCAATCACAATCAACTGATACATAAGCCAACTGTAATTTCCTTTCCTAAGGTTAATTCTTATACTAATAATGGAGTTCATTATTAACAAACATTGGCAACCAGCAGTTACTTGGCTAATCAGGGACGTAGTCAAGATTCTGAGTCAGTGGGTTCAAAACATCAAAGTTGATAATTTACAATAAAATATATACTGAAGTAATAAGTATAAAAAATGTACTTTTAAAACTTATATATATCGAATTATCAATTCTACAATTGTCCTCCACAATTTTCATATTCTAAAAACATTGCATAATTGTTTTATTGACAATTCCATCAAATATCTCTCTCTCAATATATGTAACAAGACAATCATTTAACAATTGATCTCCCATTCGATTCCATAATTGATTTTTCACAATCTTCATCGCAGAAAATGCTCTTTCAACAATTGAAATTGCAATATGTAATATCAATACTAATTTCATGTTTAAAAAGATAACAACACAAACAAAAACACCCTCCTTTTCTACACTATACTCCAACCAATTTGCATATTCTCTAAACCAAATGGGATTAAAACGACGCATTAAATTCTCAATTGCTCGCTTTTTAAAATTATGATTGTGTGGTTGGCAAGGTCTTTTTTGCAAGTATGTCTTTCTCACTTTGTCTCTATCATTAGGATGATATTCTAAAATTTTAATCCTCAATCCAGGATTTATAGGAAGACTACTCAAGTTAAGCCTAACATATGTATGTCTTGAACTAAACTCCATAGGCTCATTGTGAACACTATCGCGACGTCTTATGTTTTGTTCAATTGATGGTTCCTCGTTAAAAAACTTTCTTTTAATAAAAAACTTGTCAATAACTAAAAAAAAAAATAAAAGAATTTTTATTATTAGAAATATAATTTATTTACAATTACAATTAAAAAATAACACAAATTTATCAAAATTTAACTCATAACTTAAGTTTTTCAAACAATTTCTACTAACCTAATAAAATTCAACTCATAAACCATGAAAACTCATCAAATCTAACTCTAAATATCAAGCAACTAACCAATATATCGAAATTAAACCAAATCCCTAAATCTCTACAACTTAGGGTATCATCAATTCTTTAAACCATAATCAAAATTAACTCAATAACTAACTACAATTTATCAAACCTAACTTAAAACAACAATTAATTAACTCATACCTCAACATAAACATGATTAAATCAAAACCCATATCAAAATCTAGGAATTATTTCAAACTCATTTATTAAACTCAATATAAACTCATAACTCATAATCTTTCATCAAATAAGAAAGCTAAAAGAAAAGAATTAATTTTAAGTAAAAAAATAAAAATAAAACTAGTATCATCTTACCTTGTAATCTAAAGGAGTAGCCTTTCTTGAATATTCAACAAAATGAAAATATAATATGAGAGTAAAAGAGGGGAAATAAAGAAAAGAGAAAAGTTTAAAAAATATTAATTAATAATTTATTTTGTGGGGTTAATATAAAGTTAAGTAGTGTTAAAATTGAAAAATCTATAAACTATTAATACTTTTTTGAAATTTTTGAAAAGTTCAATGGATTAATTAAACCCACAAGCCACTATATGGCTAAGTGTGGCTAATAATTTACTAATTTCAAAACTAATTCCGGTAAACCAATCAGTGTTTTACTATAAAAATCCAACTGTATCCAACTTTGAATATATTTGGAAAAATTGTTTGTATGAATTTACTGTGCATTTTATTTTACTTACTGTTTCTGTAAATAGTTTTGTCACTATCCTAACATCTCTTACACAACCCTAAGAGGGTGTTTGGTTGGAGAAAATAAAAGATTATTGGGGTTATGTCATCTTACATTACTTTGTTACCATGTTTGGTTGTCAAGTAATATAAGATTTCAATAATCTTGAATTACCAATAGTTGTTACTGTTGGTAATATTAGAGGATTACCTCCATTTTCTTAAGTATTGTAAGATTCTTAAGATAATCTTATTTTTGTTACAATTTTATCCCTTATTAATAAAAATTTTGGACAATAATGCTCCTGTTTTAAAATAAATTTACATTAATATACCATTTCAATTTTACTCTTGTTTAATTAAGTTTTTAGACAATGATGCCCTTGTATTTAAAACAAATTATAGACCACCACCGCCACTCAGCCACCACCACCGACAGCGGGCCAACCACCACCGACCATCGCTGGAATGTCGTAGGAGTCCTTGAAAATGACCGAGATTCGTCGGCAGACTTCAAGAGGAAAATAGCCATATTAGGCTAGATTTGGCCGTTAATAATCTAACATTCCCTGAACCAAACGCCCCCTGAAGAGTATATAACCAATTAACCATTGAATTGACAAGTCTTCAAGTCCATTTCATTTTACCTAATGTCCTTGAAAAAGAAAGTAAATTCATCTTCCATATGAATCATCGGCTTTCACTCTACAAAACTCCTCTTGTCCTGGCTCTTAGTAACTCGCCGAACATTGGTATTTTGAGTGTTAACGGGAAATAAACTTTGCGTGGGAATGTGATATTTTGAAATTTTTTGGGGGCGAAAGTGTCATTAAGTCAAACCTTTGGGTGGGAAAAAGTCGTTTACTCTCCAAAGTAATACAAAGGCCCATATTTGGACTGTCGGCTTACAGCGTAGTGTTTTTGCTGCTGAAGGCAAACCCTTGCATTTTTCTTCATAATTTTCAACATACGGGAAGCAATCGTTTCAAGAAGCAGACTAAGAATATCAGCATGAGCTGATATTTGTACCACAGACATGTTCTCAGTGAAATTAAAAATTACCAAGTTACAAATAGCTAGCAAGTAGGCAAAGAAGAAGAAAATTGGATTTTTCACTGTGAATGTTTCTGCGAAACGCTACTTATTAGATTGGAAGCAGCTTCGATTTCTCATTCTAGCATCCTACTACAGTATACTGCATATCCTATTATAATAACTATATGTTATTAATGTTACCAATTTTGTTTTATTTATACATTTCCAAATAATTGGTATTAATTTGCATAAAAAATGTTGTTCGTATCCATGACCACGTTTCACATGTCTATATTCACTCAATCAGTCCGACCAATATGAATAAGTTCTAATTTCTTTCATAAAGATATCCATTCGATCTAATGAAGATAATTCCTTGAGCTTGTCAAGGAAGGTTCTAAAGTAAGCTACTATTGTTTCAACTCAATTATAGATAATATGATCATGTAATCATGAATATTAGCTACGTACATTAGGGTGTGAGCAACAAAATTTTTATAAATTATGTTAAATCCAACACCTCAAAGTACTCAGGAAACATAATCCTACACGAGCCTGAAACTATTCTCTGATTATCAATCCCCAAGGAACTTCCTCTTCTTGGTTGTGTTCATGTATGGTCTGATCACCCATTCAATCTTGGCTTCACTCTGATCAACTGTTCCCAACTTTATCTGCAACATATGCAAAGAAAAATGAGGACCAAATCGATTAGTCAGTTATACAAAGCTACACTATTAAAAAACACCACTTCTGCTTGATGGCAACAAATTGGATACCCTATCATCAATGTAAACAGATAATAAATGAACCATTGAATCTATTAGGCCAACTTCTGAACAAAAACTGTTTCTCTATTCATACAAGCAACTAGCAAGTATACACAGGAATATCCAGTAAAAGAGTAGAAAATAAGAGAAAAGGGAAAAAGAATTTCTTAAGCCATTGCATGGACTAGAAATGCAGAAAAATTTAACTTCACCAACAACAGTTGATAACTATAAACCAGCAAACTAAGTTATTAATTGTACTCTCAGAATTTAAAATGAACTATATACCTGAATAGAAAACGGGTTCCTTTCTCTGCCTCCATCCATTATCTTCCATCTTGAAAAGTACATAGCATTACTTATTTGCAGATTTCTATGTTGCAGACATGACATATCTAGGGCCAATCTTCTCCTTGCTCCTTTTGGCAATGCGCTGTCAGCAAAGAACATTCACACATGTGCAGAAAAGAAAGGGAGCTTGACAGCCTCCCATGTGACAAGCAGAGAAGGCTAACACAGCTGTTGATCTCCAGGTTTTCAAGATATGGGAGGAACAGAGGGACACTGAGATCCAAGACTTCATGCACTGCAAACTAACTGAATCAAAAAGATATGAGAGAGGCAGGCATCCAGCATCCCTCCTCTTTCTGGGGACTGAGATGGTCACAATTTTTTTATTGAGATTGTAAGTTGGGGGCCAAAACACCATTTAGAAATAACCGAAGCTTTGGACAGCGAGATATACGCAGTGCTGGAAGAGAAACACCATCTGGCATTGACATGAGATTCCTGCAATTCGAGACTGAAAATTTTGTCTCGTTGGGAGTGAGCAACCCTGTCCCAGGAAAGGATACCAGATTATCACAATGACTAACTTCCACTTCTTGAAGAAATCTGAATTCTGGGACAAGAAGATCCTCTGAAACTTCCATAAATTTGAGATACCTGCAATCCTGTATATGAAGAGATTTAAGCTTGTTGAAAAAGCCCATTGGGAAATTTGTGAGAGAATCACAGCTACACCTTATGATTAGTTCCTGAAGCTCAGTGTAAAATATGGTATCCTCAAATACCAAATCTAATTCCCTACAGTCATCAATTCTCAGTAATTTCAATAAAGGAAGGTTCTTGGGCAGGTCCCTCGTCAGTTTTTGACAGCTCCTTATGTGAAGCTCCTGGAGTGAAGGAAATTCTCCACCATCTACCTCAAAAGATGACCAGTGCATCCAATTTGGCATGCCCTCAAACCACAAACTACACAAAGATTTGAATGGGTTTATAGAAGATGGACCAACTCCATAGAATTCAGAGC